ATCTGGCGTACCGGTCTCGGGGGTTACCGGTAGCGGGGTCAAACCCGCACGAGATCAGGGCGCTAGCGGCAACATTTGCCCTACACTCGAATATCTCTGTTCACAGAATATTACGAGGTTGTTACTGGCGTTCTGACTCGGTTTTTGCCAATCATTACCTCAGAAAGGTTTCTGATGAAGACGTGGAGGGGGTGCACCGTCTTGGGCCGCTGATCGCAGCACAAGCGGTCATCTAGGGGGTGTGTCCAGCGCAATTCCAAACTCCGCAGTCGTCAGTCCTTGCACGGTGGTCAATCTGGGTCGTCTCCAATGTTCCCACGCCGTGGGTACAGGAGTGGGGGTCCTGCAAACCAGCGCACTCACACCACAGGTGAGGCGGCTTTTTGTGTGTTTTGTCCTTATTTGTATTTTGACATATGGAATACTAACAGCAGTTACTTGTTGCACAAACCTGAAACCACCTGAGACTAAGAGGTCTTTGATTGAAATATGCGTGTAAAATAAAACAATTTAACTTACATACTTTTAATATAACTATGATAATACATATTCAAATGTAGTTCGAAATTAAGGGGTATGTGGGTTTTACAGGATAGGGTTTGATATATTTATTTCAAATACTAGATTATAGTTATCAATATAATGTATTGACTTGCCTTCATGGTTATTTGATTAACTGTTGAGTGATTTGTGACACTATAGGTTATTATGTTTATTCTCCCATATATTCTTTTTTGGTGCATGTTGATGAGAAAAGCTTTATTTTATTCAATTTGGATAATTACTTTTGGGATCAATATATTTACAGGCAGGGCTAAGAAAATCTATTTGGCATGCAGTAATGACTGTCATTCATCCAAAGTAGAGGAAGTTATTCATTTTCTCTCAACTTTTAATTATTTCACAAAAACATTTTTTTTATTATTATCTTTTTTTTTATTTTATTTTTTTATGGGGTGGGGTGGGGTGGGGGTCTTTTGAATCTTTCTTGTTAATTTCTGACATCCGCACTTCCATACAGTCATTAAGTACATGTAGGTGAGAGTAAACTTATGGTGCAAACTACCAAAGTGCAAGAAATAGTACATCTGCATTATTATATCTATTCACATTTAATTTTCATAATTACACATCAATTTATGCACAGGCTTTCTACATTGCATTTTAATTGTCTCCTTCATAAAAAAATATTTATAAGTAAGTTTCTTCTCCAAACTAACAAATTTCTTAATGGAATATTATTTACTTAATTAAAGGTGTGTGACAGAGTAAACATGGTAATTATGACCAAATATAGTGCATATTAAATTTTAAGTTCCAAACACGTGACTGGGTTATTAAGTACTATAATTACTAAAAAAATAAATAAATAAATTTCACGTTTAAAAATATATTCATAGCATAGATTTTCCAAATTTCATCCTCCAAATCTTGCCTAATTTAATGCCTATTCAAACTGTCAAAGGCACGGCTTCCATGACACTGCTCATGCCGTCAGATACCAGAATAACGTGGTAAGTTGGGGAAAGTGGCCTACCTATTAGTAGTTACATCTTCATAAATAATATTACATCACAGAAACATGTAACACATCCTCCGTAATCATAAAACACTGTCCACTGAGACTATAAATACACGTCTGAACGATAGTACAGCACTGGTTGTCAGAATTATTTTAAAGGTAAAGAAAAGAACACATACCTTTACGAACGGTCCCATGGTTGTCAGTTGTCATTCAGGAACCGATAAACCTGACAGTATTGACAAATAACCGATCATATTATTGTGAAATAAGTAAACTTTTACGACTGTCAACAGCGGTGACAACCAAGCGTGGTAGTTCACTTGGTACCGTCTACAGAGTTAGCTTTGGTGGCTGCGCATTTCGAAAGCAGCACTAGTTCACGCGGATAGGCATGTCACCGGAAATGCTGGCAACGGAAGTAGCGCTTCGCGAGACTTACGGGCCCTATTATCTTAATGGCGTGATTTCCCACTTGAACTAGAATTAACATGATCATACTTGCAGGTCATGAGAACCTGTTTCTTGGATCCCCCTGGTTTGTATTGCAATTGTTATAATCAGAAGGCGCGACCCCCCAGTGTGGTACCTCCAATGTTTAACCCAGCCCAAATTTTGGGACCCTCTCTGGGGGATTGGCCGACCTTTTGCAGAGGACAATTTGTCAGGTATGGGCCGTGTTGTACTCAGTAACATGTACCTGTTGATCTAAACTTACTTTCATCTGGTACTTTGAATGTATACTCTGGTCAAATTTTACCAGAGTGTCCACTGAGTGCATTAAGGGTCAACATTTGGGGGTGTCTGGCGGGCCTTATGCAGCAGATGATTTGTCTGGCAATGGGGTTTTTATTCTTAGTAGAGTGAAATAGTTCATTTTATGTTGATTTCATGTGGTACCTCCAATGTTTAACCCAGCCCAAATTTTGGGACCCTCTTTGGGAGTGTCTGGCAGGCCTTTTGCAGAGGAAGATTTGTCTGGCGTGGCCCATTCTGTACTCTGTGGGATGTACCAGTTCATTTACACTTACTTTCATGTGGTACCTCCAATGTTTGATCCAGCCCTTGAATGGCCCCTTCTTTTGGGGGGCCAGGGGCCACACGCAGCAGGGGCTCCCCGGCAGACATCTATATATGAATATGTTGGGTTACACAGTAAATGTTCCTGTGTTCGGATATTGGTACCTTGTTCGTTTGACCAAAGTGCTCTGGGCTGCCGGTCTATCAAGAAGCCCCTGTAATTTTGAACACTGGATATGTAAGCATGAATAAGCTTTCCATCATAATCACTGACCATGTTGCTAACAGATGGAAGCCCTAGAGGTCAGCATCAATCTTGTATTCCAGCATTTTGAAAGATGAAAAGATGAACAGTTCAAACTCTCTCTTCGATTTCTTTTCCAATACTAATTGTGGAAGCATGGAAAGATGAATTGTGAATTTCTCTATGCACTTTTCACACCTGATACATCAGAACCAAAATCACTAAACCAATGAAACCTAATGTTTGCATGGATAATCCTCCCAATTTCGTTCTTCTGATCAGAATTTCATTCATTATCCTTCATATGTTTTTAAAAATATGATAATATACATTTTATCATGTTGATGAGTAGGCAGTCCTAATGGTGTTCTTGTAACAGATTATTACTAAACAAGTCAGCATGTTGAAGATAATATAATTGATTACTACAAACTATTTGTGGATTGCAGTTTTTTGTCTCTAAGATTTGTCGCTTGCTTAGGAACATTGTTTTACATGTTTAACAGTTTCCAACTCCCACTGCAGCTATATGTACTGTCAATAGGGCTGGGACAAGTCCAAATTTACTACCCGGGTACCCACCCCCTATTACCCGACCCTACCCGGGTACCCACCCCCTATTTCCCGACCCTAACCGGGTACCCATCCCCTATTACTAGACCCTACCCGGGTAGCCACCCCTATTACCCAACCCTACCCGGCTACCCAGCCCCCTATTACTAAACCCTACCCAGGTACCCTCCCCCTATTACCCAACCATACCCTCCTACCCAGCCCCCTATTACTAGACCCTACCCAGGTAACCACCCCCTATTACCCGACCCTACCCGGGTACCCACCCCCTATTACACGACCCTACCCGTGTACCCAGCCCCCTATTACTAGACCCTACCTGGGTAGCCACCCCCTATTACCTAACCCCACCCGGGTACCCAGCCCCCTATTACCCGACCCTACCCGGGTACCCACCCCCTATTACCCGACCCTACCCGGGTACCCACCCCCTATTACCCGACCCTACCCGGGTACCCAGCCCCCTATTACCCGACCCTACCCGGGTAACCACCCCCTATTACCCGACCCTACCTGGGTACCCACCCCCTATTACCCGACCCTACCCAGGTACCCACCCCCTATTACCCGACCCTACCCGGGTACCCATCCCCTATTACTAGACCCTACCCGGGTAGCCACCCCTATTACCCGACCCTACCCGGGTACCCAGCCCCCTATTACCCGACCCTACCCGGGTAACCACCCCCTATTACCCGACCCTACCTGGGTACCCACCCCCTATTACCCGACCCTACCCAGGTACCCACCCCCTATTACCCGACCCTACCCGGGTACCCATCCCCTATTACTAGACCCTACCCGGGTAGCCACCCCTATTACCCAACCCTACCCGGCTACCCAGCCCCCTATTACTAGACCCTACCCAGGTACCCACCCCCTATTACCCGACCTTACCCGGGTACCCACCCCCTATTACACGACCCTACCCGTGTACCCAGCCCCCTATTACTAGACCCTACCTGGGTAGCCCCCCCCTATTACCTAACCCCACCCGGGTACCCAGCCCCATATTACCCGACCCTACCCGGGTACCCACCCCCTATTACCCGACCCTACCCAGGTACCCACCCCCTATTACCTGACCCTACCCGGGTACCCAGCCCCCTATTACCCGACCCTACCCGGGTAACCACCCCCTTTTACCCAACCCTACCCGGGTACCCACCCCCTATTACCCGACCCTACCCGGGTACCCACCCCCTATTACCCGACCCTACCCGGGTACTTGCTGTAGGTCTCAAGAGATACAAAATGTCTGATTGAGAATTGCACTTGCAAACATATTTAGTTACATGTATTAAACAATCTGGTCATGCATACACTGAAGTTGACTTCAGTTATATCTTTATTCAACCATATGAAAAGTCAGAAGGAATGGGTGCATGGTCAGAAAAAATTGTGAACATCAGTGACTTGTAGTGTAACCATAGACTTCCAGATATTTTTTGTCATTAAACAATGTATCACGTGACTAACCACGGGTCCGGGTAGTCCTGTGGGTACCTACTCGACCCAGGTACCCGAGTTACCCGTCCCAGCCCTAACTGTCAACATGTAACACTGCAGGTATTCATGTACCAGGTGAGCTAACTTTAATACCACACTGCAATTTTCTAAGAGGACCGTTTATTGTTTAAGAATCCCTCTCTATGGCGGAGTAATCCTCACTATAGCAGACACCTTCACCTTCCTGCTGCTGGACAAATATGGGTTGCGGAAGCTGGAGGCTTTCTTTGCCTTCCTCATCTTTGCTATGGCTGTAACATTTGGCTATGAGGTGTGTTGAAAATCTATTTCCAGCTGTGTGTTCGTCTGTACATTGTGAAATGAATGGAGTGTGTCTTTCAAAATGATTCACCCCGAAGTAATATTTATTGAAAATTGTAAAATATAGTTATGTATATTCATATATATGTGGCTATTACATAATATTTGTTGTGGGGAACATTTAACAGAGGTTTGGTCATTATGATTGATAAATGAAAACACAAATCTGGATGATACTACTGTTTCGCGTAGTGTGTTCTGTTATATGCAGTGGTGGGCCTTGGTCTGTAGTTTCCCTGTTTGAGTGATGTGTTCTGGTGGTTGCCTTGTTTGAGTGATGTGTTCTGGTGGTTGCCTTGTTTGAGTGATGTGTTCTGGTGGTTGCCTTGTTTGAGTGATGTGTTCTGGTGGTTGCCTTGTTTGAGTGATGTGTTCTGGTGGTTGGCAATTGTCTGTAGTTTCCCTGTTTGAGTGATGTGTTCTGGTGGTTGCCTTGTTTGAGTGATGTGTTCTGGTGGTGGGCCATTGTCTGTAGTTTCCCTGTATAAGTGATGTGTTCTGGTGGTGGGCCATTGTCTGTAGTTTCCCTGTTTGAGTGATGTGTTCTGGTGGTTGGCAATTGTCTGTAGTTTCCCTGTTTGAGTGATGTGTTCTGGTGGTTGGCAATTGTCTGAAGTTTCCCTGTTTGAGTGATGTGTTCTGGTGGTTGCCTTGTTTGAGTGATGTGTTCTGGTGGTGGGCCATTGTCTGTAGTTTCCCTGTATAAGTGATGTGTTCTGGTGGTGGGCCATTGTCTGTAGTTTCCCTGTTTGAGTGATGTGTTCTGGTGGTTGGCAATTGTCTGTAGTTTCCCTGTTTGAGTGATGTGTTCTGGTGGTTGGCAATTGTCTGTAGTTTCCCTGTTTGAGTGATGTGTTCTGGTGGTTGCCTTGTTTGAGTGATGTGTTCTGGTGGTGGGCCATTGTCTGTAGTTTCCCTGTATAAGTGATGTGTTCTGGTGGTGGGCCATTGTCTGTAGTTTCCCTGTTTGAGTGATGTGTTCTGGTGGTTGCCTTGTTTGAGTGATGTGTTCTGGTGGTTGGCAATTGTCTGTAGTTTCCCTGTTTGAGTGATGTGTTCTGGTGGTTGCCTTGTTTGAGTGATGTGTTCTGGTGGTGGGCAATTGTGTATAGTTTCCCTGTACAAGTGATGTGTTCTGGTGGTGGGCCATTGTCTAGTTTCCCTGTATAAGTGATGTGTTCTGGTGGTTGCCTTGTTTGAGTGATGTGGTTGGCAATTGTCTGTAGTTTCCCTGTTTGAGTGATGTGTTCTGGTGGTTGCCTTGTTTGAGTGATGTGTTCTGGTGGTGGGCAATTGTGTATAGTTTCCCTGTACAAATGATGTGTTCTGGTGGTGGGCCATTGTCTGTAGTTTCCCTGTATAAGTGATGTGTTCTGGTGGTTGCCTTGTTTGAGTGATGTGTTCTGGTGGTTGCCTTGTTTGAGTGATGTGTTCTGGTGGTGGGCCATTGTCTGTAGTTTCCCTGTATAAGTGATGTGTTCTGGTGGTTGCCTTGTTTGAGTGATGTGTTCTGGTGGCTGGCAATTGTCTGTAGTTTCCCTGTATAAGTGATGTGTTCTGGTGGCTGGCAATTGTCTGTAGTTTCCCTGTTTGAGTCATGTGTTCTGGTGGTTGCCTTGTTTGAGTGATGTCTTCTGGTGGCTGGCCAATGTCTGTCGTTTCCCTGTTTGAATGATTTGTTCTCTTGCAGTATGTGGTGGTGGCCCCAGACCAGGTCGAGGTGATGAAGGGGCTGTTTGTGCCCTACTGTGAGGGCTGTGGCCCTACACAGCTGATGCAGGGCATAGCCATGGTGGGCGCCATCATCATGCCCCACAACATCTACCTACATTCAGCTCTCGTCAAGGTGAGCCTTCTTGCTCTTTTCAGAAGCAACACATATTGGTTTCAAAGTTGTGCTTATGGTAAACATTGAGAAATGGAACTGATGGAAGTTAGGTTTATGAAGTATTATTTTTTTAAGAACTTTCTTTGAACTGTGACATTCAAACAAGCAATGAAATTCATTACTGACACTTGGTATCAAAGTCTTTTATTGTGAGCAGATCAAAACCTGTTTGTTTGTTTGTTTTTTTCAGCAGATTTGATTGTTTGAGGTAACAATGATTTTGAGGTCAGCTGTTGCTCATTTAACGATTTCAAGAGTTCAAATGACTATTAATTCTTGAATTAAGAAATGAGAGGTCATAGTTTTGTCAAATCTTTATTGAACCACTTCCGTGGTCTAGTGGATAGAGTTTCAACCTTTGGGGCGGAAGGTCGGTGGTTTGATCCCGTGTCATACCAAAGACGTGGAAAGATGGTACTTGTTGTTACCCTGCCCATAACTTGGCATTAAGAGGATAAAACAAGGACTGGATGACTGGGAGTCAGTATTCTGTGTCTGAGTGAGATTTCCAAGTTAAACTGTGGCATGGGCTGGGGGCTGGGAATCGTAGATAAAAAGATCTTGTTAACTCAAAGCTCCAAAATATCGAAAGAACAACCTGGCGCTGTTACCATTTCATGTATTTTTTCAGTCAAGAGAAGTAGACCGGAGTAAGAAGGCAGAAGTTCGTGAGGCCAACTTCTACTTCTTTATCGAGGCTGTGATTGCCTTGTTTGTGTCCTTTGTCATCAACCTGTTTGTGGTGTCAGTGTTTGCTGAAGGGCTTTACTCCAGAACCACAAAGGAGATTGTAAGCAGATCAAAGCTTGTTTGTTTGTTACTTGTTTAGCAGTTAGCAATATTCTTGCTATATCATGACGGCCTGTAACTCTTGGCCTGTCAAGCCAGTGGTTAAACAAAAATTATTTTGCAAACAGAATCAGGAATAATTTCTGTGTTTAGTAATGTCCCTTTAACATGAATGAGTTCTGTATTTGCACATGCTTTTCAAACCTGGTTAGGGGCAGGGGTGGCCTCGGTGTCTACCGTGCCACAATTTACTCTGCAGAGTTGCATATGCACCCTTGGGCACACCAGAAACCTACGATCATGGGTATGAATCCTAGTTCACCCCAATTAGGTTTCTAGGTTTGTCAGCATCCTACCCTGTAAGAGACGACTGTGCTTGTCGAATGAGGCGACTAACGGGATTGGGTGGTCAGGCTCTCTGACTTGGTTGATGCATGTCATCATATCCCAATTGCATTGATCAATGCTCATGATATCAATCACTGGATTTTCTGGTCCAGACTCTTTTATTAACAGACTGCGATCACATAGCTGGAATTTGCTGAGTGAGGCGTTAAACAACAAACAAACAACAAAGCAATGATAAAGGAACTTGCTTGTGTCCCACGTGTTGATTTAAAAGGTTTTTAAATTGGATTTGTAGCTCAAAAACTTCTAGAATTTCCACTGCATATGCAGACATGTTCTGACCAACCTGATTCTATGTTTTGCTCATTTTTCAGTACAACAGCTGTGTTGCCGCTGGTAACCCTCATGCGTATGTCTTTGATGTAAGTAATTTTGATGCACATGAATTGTTTTCAAGCACAATCTTGTTGATATCAGGGTCTTTTGCCCCAGTGTGATACCTCTCTGCATGAAGGTTGGACCCCTACATGGGAGGTCACGTCAATGAACTATCTAATCAGCCATTCAGTCTCGAGGCTTCTAAATGTTTGGTTCGAGTGAGCAAAATAATAAGGGCTGCGCCATAATATTGTTGTGGCTGTTGAATATGCTTGTTCTGAGTGCCATGGCATCTTCTCGTGGCAATGGTGTTAACTGGCTATATATAAAAGTCCAGTTTCCACCCTTGCCGAACTAGGCTGGAATTCCGTGGCTCGATCACAGCGCCACCAGTGGCTATTAGGAGTTATGTCCCTTCTATGTCCCTACTACTGACCAATCAGATACCACCTCTGATATTACTTGCATTTCTTTCAAACAAAATGGCGGCGCCCAGTCAAGAAGATCTGATCTTACCAAGCCATGTGCATCAAATCACTTGAGCACCTTGATTAAACACATGAAAAGATTTGCAAAATATCTGTTGATGCCCAGTTGGCTTTGCAAACCCTGCAGTCGACCCAAATCTGCATGTTGAAATCAATTGTTTGCGAACCAGATGTCTAGTTTGTCACGTGATTTTTTTGATTGGACAATGCATAGATCGTCAGTTCAGTTACAAATGTAGCTCGGGAACACCAGCCTTGTTTGGCAAGGGTGGAAACTTGACTTTATAGTCATTTAACTCCCTTGTCTCGGGAAGATGAAAAAAATTAACCTACCGGTAATTGTTTTAGAAACCTGACATGTTTGTCTCAAACACGGATGCATCCTTCATTTAGATTGCACAGTAAGGGTCCTCTCTGTAAGGGGTTGTCACTGTCAAATCTTCATGAAGATAGGTATCATGTTGCAGTGAAGATCTGATGTTGTTGAGGATGTATTTTAGCAATACATGCAGAGGTTGAAATTAACCAAGACTGTGTACTGGCCCGAATAATGATAACATACAGTCAAACACTGTTGTGTCAAACATTGATGTGTTGAACTTATGGTTATCGAAGTAAAAGCTTGACTAACGTGATCGGGTGGTCAGGCTTGCTGACTTGGTTGATGCATGTTATCGTATCCCAATGGTGTTGATCGCTGCTCGTGAAGCAGCTTCATATTTATGTCTTCATGCACCAAGTGCAAGTAAAACAATTCAAATTTGTGTCTGAACAACACTTATCTGTCCACACAACTATGATCGTTGAACACACTCAATACCTCTAAACTTTATTTACCATACAATATCACTAGTCGCTGTGTTATGTGTAATTCATGACAGAGGGCACGGAGATCTGAGACTGCACTTATTTAGATTAGTTTATGCATCTATGTATCCACTTTAATAAATATATGGGACCAGGGTGCAATCAGGTGGGTCTAGTGCAACTAGGTTTTCATGTCATCATGCACCTGGTGAAAGTTAAGTTAAGTTCCTTAAATTATCACCAAATTTACCTGTATGTTTGGTGACGATCCGGGCAAATGTTATGTGTTGATTTACATATTTGACAGGACTACTTTGACGTTAATTTCCTTTAAGACCTTCTTAAAAATGAAATTAAGAAAGGCCACATGTCGTCAGCCTGCATCTTCCCGAGGCAAGAGAGTTAACTGCCTTAAAAAGTCAAGTTCCACCCTTGCCGAACTAAGCTGGAATTTCCGGGCCTGATTGTAGCGCCACCATTGGCTATAACGAGTTATGTCCCTTCTATGCCTCTCGTATGGACCAATCAGATTCCACCCTCCTATCACTTGCATTTGTTTCAAACAAAATGGCGGCGCCCAGTCAAGACGATCTGATCGATAATCAAGATCTATGTTGTGATAAAACAGGTCTTACATTGCAAAGTGCATCAAATCACGTGAGTACCTTGATTAAAAAAATGAAAAGATTTGGAAAATATCTGTTGACAACTAGTTGGCGGTGAACATGCTTTGCAAATCCTGCAATCGACTGAAATCTGCACGACAGTTTACGAACTGTTTTTTTTATTTTGTTACGAGATTTTGATTGGACTATGCATAGACTCGTTAGTCCAGCCAAACTGTAACTCCATAATACCAGCCTAGTTCTGCAAGGGTGGAAACTGGACTTTTATAGTCAGTTAACTGTCTTGCCTCGGGAAGATGTCAGGCTGTTGCCCCCTGCTCAGCCTTGGACCCCATGATGTATTCCTCGAGACTCCCCTTAACATGAATAGAATAGATAGTCTGAGGTAGACCTGATTAGTGGAGGAGACTGCCTGTGTATTCAAATCCTGCATGTTTCCTTCAACAGGTGAATGAAACCGATGGGCTGGTTGAAGTGGACATCTACAGAGGGGTGAGTTGATCTTGCAGGTGATGCTTGGGAACAGTGGTGATGGTGAGTTGGTGGTTCATGCTTAGGACTAGTGTCAACATTGCGAGAATGATGAGAGGTGAGGTGAGGTGAGGTGAGGTGAAATGGGGCTTAATATCGTGTTCAAGATTATTGCACTTATGTAGCGAAAGGGATAGGTGCTAAAAATTAATCTACAAATTTGAAAAGAAATATAATTAAAAAAACAACTTTTATTACTTACTATTGGTTACAGTGTGTGTTTGAATTGATAGAATACCTCCTCCCTTAAAAAACTATATGTAGTAACAGGATTCATTTAATGTTTTCGTCCTATGAAAGAAGCACATATTCCCTTAAACGTACATTATTTTAGTACATGTCTGCGAGATTGGCATTATAGGAATGCTTCCTTCCTTCTCCAGGGGGTGTTTCTGGGATGTCAGTTTGGGGTCGCTGCTATGTACATTTGGGCAGTGGGGATCCTGGCTGCTGGTCAAAGTTCAACCATGACCGGCACATATACTGGACAGTTTGTGATGGAGGTGAGAATATTGAATATTGAGACGTTTTTTACATTGTTTGACCAATTTCTTTATAAAATTGTTATATAAGATATGTTGATGGTTGTTCAGTACATGAAGAATCCATATGTTCTGGCAAATTTGACTCGACTTTGGTTAAGGTGAAGAGGCCCCATGGTCTCTGTGGTCTTATTTCGTGTAATCATGGTATTATACCCTTATTGTGTAGACTATATTCATCCATGCTTACAGTCACTTGACTGTCTGGCCCAGCTGAAATTTTGTACAAGTCCAGTAGTATAGAAAAATTGTGCCAGAGCCACCTATTTCTCTTCAAACACAGCGTTGCTTTGAAGCATTGCACTGATTGAGCTGAAGTGGATACACTGTGGTTCATATTTACATCTTTTCATGGAGACTGGTAAATAGTAAAGTGTTGCTTCTTGTTGGAATTTGGCCTTCTCTAATTAGAATTTAATCTGATTTTTTTTGGTAAGATTTTAGATTTATTTAGGTAAGAAACAACTTATTGAAATATGACTATTATCTGTTGATGGTGGTTGATAATTATTGCCATTTGACAACTGACAACATTGTTTAATATGTTTAGTGAAGTGTTGAGCGATACCTTTAAGGGGAGTAGCCTAGCAGGTAGTGTTTAGTCTTTTTATGCTCTAGACCAGAGTTTGTTTCTCAGAACTTGTGTGATCTTGAAGCCAGTGAGTGAGTGAGTTGGGTTTAACGCCGCTTTTAACAGTAACACAGTTAAATTGCGGCGTGTCAGCTTAATGTGGGAGGAAAGTCCGAAGTGATGCAGGTCTCAGACGTTTACCACTTCGGTGAAACACACAAGCACGGGAATGGTGCTGACAAACCTAGAAACATAATCGGGGTGAACTGGTATTCGAATCCACAATCATAGGTTTCTGGCGTGCCCAAGGGACACAACTCTGCACAGCGAATCGCGGCGCCTTAGACGACTGGGCCACCCGTGCCCCCCTGATATATAGTAAAACAGAAACAGATGACCCCGTTTAGTGGTAGATTAAATAGTAATATAACAAGAACTGAAATATAAGGTGGGAGAAAAGAGAAGAGATTAGTGGACAGTAGAAAATCTGGCCCAGACTTGATTATTTAACAGACTGCTATGATATAGCTGAAATATGTGGTGTGAAAAAACAAACAAATATACTGAATCACAAATATATCAAAAGGAGACAATCCCTGTAAAGTGAGTGAGTGAGTGAGTATGGTTTTACGCCGCTTTTAGCAATATTCCAGCAATATCACGACGGGGGGACACCAGAAATGGGCTTCACACATTGTACCCATGTCGGGAATCGAACCCGGGTCTTCGGCGTGACGAGCAAACGCTTTAACCACTGGACTACCCGACTGTCCCACCTTGTAAAGAGGCACTGCTTAAGTCATTCATGTTGATGAGTAAATGCCTATGTAGGATTTAATTATGTCCTGAATTAATTACAAATTATGATGTTCACCAACTCCAGGGTTTCTTGAACTTGACGTGGAAGAGATGGCAGCGTGTATTGCTGACCCGGAGTATCGCCATCCTGCCAACTGTCTTTGTGGCCATATTCCAAGGCATCGACCACCTGACTGTGATGAATGACCTGCTCAACGTGCTGATGAGTCTGCAGCTGCCCTTTGCCCTCATCCCCATCCTTACGTTCACAAGCTCACCCGACATCATGGAGGACTTCACCAATGGCATGTAAGTACTTGACCAGTCATCATTATTGATCTTGAGGTGAAATTGTAGGACTCTCATGTAGTGGAGGAAAATTTCTTGGAACCATGTAACTTGAAAATTGTGTTGGTGCATTTCTAATCTGTAGTCATATGTAATACATTGTATCAACAAATGTGAGCCACCAGGAGAAAAGGGACCTTAAGGGTGCTAGGATACAATTGTGCAAGGAACTCAAGAAAGAGCGACGTTTGACGTTAACTTACTTAGCTTGAGTGAAGATCGGCAATGTGTGCAGACTACAAAAATATCTTGTTTTCTCCTGTTAGTTTGTAATGTAATAAAAACATTATTTCAAAACCTTTCAGCATACATCATGTACAAGTCTACTTTTTGTTCTTCAGACATTATGTCAGGCTAAAAACTGCAGTTATCACATAAACAGTTATAAGTCGCAAAAGAAGTCCAAATGTTTGATCCCATGTTTCTCTGTACTAAATGTGAATGGGGGTGGTCGGGTAGCCTAGTGGTTAAAGCGTTCGCTCGTCACGCCGAAGACCTGGGTTCGATTCCCGACATGGGTACAATGTGTGAAGCCCATTTCTGGTGTCCCCCTGCCGTGATATTGCTGGAATATTGCTAAAAGCGGCGTAAAACCATACTCACTCACTCACTCACTCACTAAATGTGAATGGAAGCTTGTTAAGTGTATTTCTGTTTTTCGAAGATACTGTAGTTTTAAAATATAATGAAAAGTCAACATGTGATATTCACTCCGAAGGTCCCTTATTTCATGGTGTAGTTGATAGTGCATCTGCCCGCAGAGCGGAAGGTCGAGGGTTCGATCCCTGGCCCCATCATTCCAAAAGACATTAAAAGATGGTACTTATTGTTACCCTGCCTGGTTCTGCAAGCATATGTGTGCATGTCACTATATAAGTGCAGTAATCTTGAAAGTGACATTAAACTCCATTTCATCTCACCTGTCACATCATGTTTGTTCATCTGAAGTGACACAAGGTAGTTTTTGTCTTCATGATAATAATAATAATAATAATAATTATAATAATAGGCCTATTTATATTGCGCTATATCCACACCAGGTTCATGCTCATAGCGCTTCACTATTATTACCACGGTCAATGGATCAGTGTACACTCGAACATCATTCTCAGCTCCCTAGGGAGTATACAACCCAAGCTGCCTGTGAGTAGCTAGAAGGTTAACAACCACATTACCATCTGATCCTACAGGGTACCCAGTCACTGCTTGGTTAACAGAGGCACATTTCGAACAGAGTCCATTGCCCAAGAAGACAGCACATGTGCTGCATGTGCTTCAATGGGGGACAGGACCAAAGCCCTACTAACTCTCAGGAGTCAAGCTGCTGAAATGTGGTCACCCATCCAAGGATTCTCTGTGACCTACGATGCTACACTTACGATATACGATTCTGCAATTTTTCTTGAAATTGTACCCAAGAATTGGGTGTGTGAATGATGCTCAAGTGCACATTATACACAAGATTATAAAGTACCCACATCTCTCTTTGCAGGGTGATGAAGATTTTGTCAGGCCTCCTGGCTGTGGGAGTCATCATCATAAACTTGTTCTTCGTCGTCGTCTACATCCATCAAGCACCTGCTCACTGGGCCATCTACCTGGCTGTGGCCATCGCTGTCTGCTTCTACATCTGTTTTGTTGTCTATTTGGTAAGTAGAGAGGGCTACATTTTCAGTCCACAATCCTTATGATGATAACATGTAGCAAAACCCTTTAAAATGGCAAATGTTTACTAGTTGTTATGATACTTTCACTATTGGGCAGTTTGGCAAGGACTACAGTGCCAATTTCTAGTGCTGGCTTGACAAATATGCTGGCCAGCTTGACAAGTGCCAGTGAAATTTGACCTAGACCACTGCTTTCATATTTCCTTGGCCCAGATGGCTATTGAAATACAGTCAAGTCTCGTTAATCCGACAATCGGCTTTATCCGACACTAATGATGGGAACCGATTAGATCAATGCAATTTAAACCTGTTAATCTGACATTCTCGCCCTCCGACTCCGACACACCTAATTTGAAACAAATTACTGAAATCACTCATTAATCAGTCTCGTTAATCCGACACGGTGATCAGTGTACTCTGTAGTCAACTGCCCGCCAGTATACAGACCATGTTTTGATATGAGATGAGTCTGCTAGTAGCTACATATTACAACGGGTGCAGAGATAAACTTGCTTAACAATAAACAATTACTGCTTTAAATAAACAAAACAGGATTAATCACATGCTTAGATTATCTCAATCTCATTAAAATCCAATGCAAGTTCTCGCTACTGCTGAGGATATCCCATTACAGGGCATGTCAGAATGACCTTTCGCGAACCAATGAAATGACTTACATGAATCGACATTAGCCAATTAGAAACAAGCTCTTGTTCAACTAGTTTCAAACTGGCGACTTTCATTCCAGACAAAGTATTTTGAATCGGTCATACAGCCCGTAACAGTAGTTTTGTGTTAAGCTTTAGAGGTTGCATGATTAGAAAACATTCTGCCAACAATCTAACACAACAATATGAATATTTCATTTTCCCTTTTTTTATTACGTGTTTGTATCGTTATCTATTGGGTTGTTGTCCGATTTTCGACCACAAGCATTCATACTACTTAATTTCTTTTATCCGACATACTCATTAATCCGACATAATCATATGCAACCAACCATGTCGGATTACATGGATTTGACAGGGTCAATACATTATTTTTTAAAGATAAATTTAGGGATGAAATGACGACCGGTCAATAATTAGACAGATGTGACTGGTCGCTTCTTTCTCATCTTTTGAAACAGGTTCTGTAAATACTTTCTAAACGTGATAAATACACTTCCAACAGTGCCTACCATGCAACATGACTGAGTGACTATTGTTTTACGCGGCTTTTAGCAATATTCCAGCAATATCACAAGGGACCAGAAATGGGCTTTACACATTGAAGGGTCTGCACATGTGAGGAATCGAACCTGGGTCTTCAGTGTTACAAGTGAACACTTTGACCACTAGGCTACCCCACCAGGATACCCCACCGTCCAACGGTACAACGATACAGAAGGCCATGATACAATATGTATCTCCATTCACTGGTCACGATATGTTGCATATCTCGATATGCTTGAAAAACAACCCAAAGAAATGAACAGTTTGTTCCTTGTTGACTGAGTCCATTACAAAGTCATGGAAACCAATGTGATCCCAAACAGCTGATTTGTAGGACACAGGTGGCCTTTACAGCTCACATTTATTCCTGTTCCAATCGGGTTATTCTTTTGCTAAGAAAGTTAAGTTATGTGCATTGTATCATCATGGTTCTTGAATCGTGTATCAATATCAGTTTCGCGTTATTTCATCTGTAGTTACAACTGTCTGGTTGCATGTTTCAGTCTCTACACTGCCTGGCAATGATGGGAGCAGAATTTCTTAAGAAAATTGTGGTAAGATTCGTAATATTTTCAGCCTCGGGCTAATATGGGGGACTCGGGTTGATATGGGGGTTATATGGGGGTCTGGGGTTGATGTGGGGGTCTGGGGTTGATGTGGGGGTCTGGGGTTGATGTGGGGGTCTGGGGTTGATGTGGGGGTCTGGGGTTGATGTGGGAGTCTGGGGTTGATGTAGGGGTCTGGGGTTGATATGGGGGTCTGGGGTTGATATGGGGGTTGCGGTTGATATGGGGGTCTGGGGCTGATGTGGGGACCTTGGGTTGATGTGAGGACCTTGGGTTGATACGGGGGTCTTGGGCTGAAAAGGGGTCTCAGGTTGATATGGGGGTCAGGGGTTGATGTGGGGGTCTGGGGTTGATGTGGGGGTCTGGGGTTGATTTTGGGGTCTGGGGTTGATGTGGGGATCTGGGGTTGATATGGGGGTCTCAGGTTGATATGGAGGTCTGGGGTTGATATGGGGGTCTGGGGTTGATATGGGGGTCTGGGGTTGATGTGGGCGTCTGGGGTTGATGTAGGGGTCTGGGGTTGATATGGGGGTCTGGGGTTGATGTGGGCGTCTGGGGTTGATATGGGGGTCTGGGGTTGATGTGGGCGTCTGGGGTTGATATGGGGGTCTGGGGTTGATATGGGGGTCTGGGGTTGATGTGGGGGTCTGGGGTTGATATGGGGGTCTGGGGTTGATATTGGGGTCTGGGGCTGAAAAGTGGTCTCAGGTTGATATTGAGGTCTCAGGTTGATATTGGGGCCTGGTGCTGATATGGGGGTCTCAGGTTGATATGGAGGTCTCAGGTTGATATTGGGGTCTGTAGCTGATATGGGGGTCTGGGGTTGATATGAGGGTCTTGGGTTGATATGGAGGTCTCAGATTAATATGGGGGTCTCGGGTTGATGTGGGGACTTTGGCTTGATATGGGGGTCTCTGGTTGATATGGGGGTCTCGGGCTGATATGGGGGACTCGGGATGATATGGGGGTTCCGGGTTGATATGGAGATCTCGGGCTGATATTGGGGTCTCGGGCTGATATGGGCTATAATAAGAAAACTGCCATATGATAACCTCTAGTTATTGCCCTCTCCCACGGTATCATCTGGTACACCATGTCAAGTTGTTTATTAAATAGAAAGTTCACATATTATCAGATCAGGCGGAATGAAGTCATGTTCATTTTGCCATTTTATGTCACTAGATCTGTGGCCACACCATCATCCCGCGCAGCAGAAGTCTCTTACAGCAAAACAGCGCTGACGGTGATCAGCAAACCGAGATGACCCCTGCAGCCGTTTCCCCAAACGGGTCCATGCAACCATTATCATATAAGAGCTTGTCAGAATAACCATATTTGTGATATCAAACATATTTTTATAGGAATATACTTTATTTGGTCTCTATATATTTATGGGAGTAAAACAATTAAGTTCATTGTGCCTTGAACAGTATGTTGCTGACCATCAGTCACATATTAAGGAACATGAGTTTTAAGTGTTTGATGCCCGGAACTTTTACTGGAAACCACCGGCGTTATTTCTCAAACACACCCACAAATCTGAAGACACATGTTCAGAGCTACAGATAAGTTTTTGAGCAATTGAGGTTTTACTCAAAGGTTTTTTATTGGGTTATTACATTTTTCAATGGGGAACCAATATTTTTTCACTCATCTATTCATCACTCTATTGGGTTTTTCCCAAAATGTGTAAACATTTTGAGATTTAAAAAATAAATAAATAATGTTTTAGATGTGTGTAAGGGTTCTAACTAAAGGTTTGACTCGGAAAGTAAATTAGCTTGTAATTGTGTTTCATAAATTAGCTCCATTGTATGCATGCTGAAAAAGCTTCACTGGGTATTTAAGTGTGCTGTTTTGATACATGTGAGTTTTTCATTTAATGCATGCGTTTCTGTACTCAAGTGAATTGAAAGTAATTGGGTTTTGAATATTTTGGGGGGGATATTTTACGGAAATACCTTTACGCAAAAATACTTATCTGTAGCTCTGCATGTTTATCTCCTTAATATGTGACCGATGGTCAGGATATTATATTTGGGATAACAAAGAGGGGTTCTTGACAGAGGGGTACACAAAGTACGTGATCTAGACTTTGTGTGCTGGCGATTAGGTGCCTTATTCCGAACGGGACTCAACCCAAAAGTGTACGAGAAACTGTACTTTCCTGAGAAAGTTTTATTCCAAATATAACATTTGTTACATTTGAGCACTTTCGAAATGGCATTGTGTGTTCATACATGTTTATTGACATTGTAAAATGCAAAAGATATCATTCCTTTCCTGAAGCACGATGTAGAGTCTCACATTTGTAAGACAGACATGACATCACTCTGGAATGCTACGGGTATGCTATGGAATGCTCGTATGACGTCATGGTACAATGGGCGAGTTCGAGATAACTTGTGTCATTAATCAATACATCATGTGACTAACCATGTGTCAGGGTAGTCCTGTGGGTACCCGGGTCCTGCCCATTACCCACCCGACCCAGGTACCCGCATTACCCCTCCCAGCCCTAGTGTATAGTTAAATCACTCACACTGAATACTCACATAATCCTGATAAATGTCTCAAAACTCAAACTGTTACAAAAATGTGTTCTCTCCTCAAAGATTATTTTCTGGATTTGTCGGCAGCACTTAAGTACATTTGTAGCTTGGTGTCTTTAGGTGGGGAGGTGGGGGAGCATGCTGAAGACCAGGGTGCCATTGTACAAAGCGATCTTAGCGCTAAGGTGATATCGTAACGCCCATACCTTAACATAGACTTACGACAGTCGTAGAAGTAAGGTTGTTTTGTACAACGGCGCCTTGGTTGCTGGTCCACACACACACAGTACAATGTGTGAAGCCCTTTCTGGCATCCTCTTCCGGGGGCTCCGTGATCTTGCTAAGATATTGCTTTGAGAGGCATAAAATAATACTCATTCGACATTAGTCTCATATTTTAAGTCATTTTATTAAAATTTTATTTATCATCCCATGACTACTATGGAATATTACTGACATAAGAGATTATTCTTCCATGGACTTCTGCTAATGGACCCTGGGGAATTCTTGTGGTATATGACATGAAAATGTCAATTGACAAGGTCAAGGTCATGAGATTGAATAAACTGTCTTTCATGCATGTTTTAAAAAAGTGAGTGTGATTATCATTAAACTTGGTATATACCTTTCCAGTATGGGTCCCTGCTTTAAAAAGGTTTTGGTCAAGATTACAACATTACAATTGTCCCTCTGGTTATAGAATGTCATCTAAAACACTCACATCTCAAAGTTACTGACTTCTTGCATCAGTGAGAAGATATATTTTTCATCGTTCGCAAACTGAGTTCACTTTAATAGTTTGCATCAAAAGATACATATTTTTTTCAGTAATTGAAGTAATTTTACTTTGGTTATGTTTTATTTGTCTACTGGTCCAACCAGTCTTTATGACTAGCAAATAATTATTAAGGTTATAATATATAGAGGGGTACACGTTTTGTGAAACAGTGTTATCTGTGTATAACGCACACTCAAAAACTCTGTTGTTTTTCTGTGAGGTGAAGTCTTGACAGGAGCAAAAGGAGATTACACACTGGGTCAAAGCCTTAACATAAATGTAAATATTAATATAAAAAATAGTTGCTTGCAAGTTTAGTTGTAATTCCCATCACACCATTTACACGCATTGATCAATATGGTTGTCAATATATGAACATCTCGTACATGACGGAGCCAATCATTTTCCCTTATATTGTCCAGTGCTTGCCACTGTATATCCATCCTTCACTCAGTGTCCACATGCCTGAGCTTGTTATGTCATGGGTGACCGGGGCATGGGTGTCCCAGTCGTCTAAGGTGCCGCGATTCGCTGTGCAGAGTTGTGTCCCTTTGGCACGCCAGAAACCTATGATTGTGGGTTAGAATCCCGGTTCGCCCCGATTGTGTGTCTAGGCTTGTCAGCGCCATACCCGTGCTCGTGGGTTTCACCGAAGTGGTAAACGTCAGAGACCTGCATCACTTCGGGCTTTCCTCCCACATTAAGCTGACACGCCGTGATATAACTGGAATAATGTTAAAAGTGGCGTTAAACCCAACTCACTCACTCACTCACTCATGGGTGACTGCCGCAGGAAATTTCATACTGCTGAATCGTGACAAATCAGGACTTGCAATAACAACATCGACTGTCGATTCTCCAGCTCCATCACTGAAGGAAAATTGAAATCACTTGGCGTCAGAGTTATTGACTGTTTTTTTTCACACTCTAAGAATGAACTCAGTGATGCCATGGTGTGAGTATTTTTGTAAATATTATATTCATATGTTTTATAATTATTATACTTGTTATCCAAGTTTTAGTGGAGGAATTTTATTTTTGTATCTCGATTTATTGTCATACCCAGATTAGGTATTTCCGACATCGAACAATTGTATGAAACTGTTTAATTATTGTATATTTTATTGTAATATTGGTACTATGAGTGTTGTTAATGATGCCAAAATGAATGGTGATTTCTGTCATCACTGGATGACCTCTACTGACCTAAAGCCAAAGGGGGCGAAGTGGCTTGCATCCATTGGTGACAATCGCTGATTGTAGGAGGGAAATGTCAGATTTCCTTGCTCATGATCCTTGGTCTGCAGAGGAGAATCCCCTTGTGAAAACCAAATTTGGTAGTATGTTGAAGGCAGTAAAATTGACCGAGAGAGGATATTGATATTTTGGACCCCTCTGTTTTAAAAATGCTGTATCTGCCCTTGGCCTGTGAGTTCTACACTAGTGTTTGTTTCACCAAAGTGATAGTTGTTTCCGGCCATGTCGCATCGGCCATCCTCCCACATTAAGGGGACGTGCGGTGGTATAACTTGAAGATTGTTGTAAGCACCATTATGCCACACTTGTGTGTAATGCCACTGCATCATTGTCAGAAAGTGGTGTTAGGAAAACAAGGAAGTACACTTGTTAGATGTGCTCTGTTGGTGACCCGTGAAGATCCAGGGTAGAATTGGTCTTCAGAAACCCATGCCTGCCATAGGTGACTATGCTTGATGTAAAAGGCGACTAACGGAATGGGGTGGTCAGGCTCGCTGATTTAGTTGATGCATGTCATCGTATCCCAATTGCATGGATTGATGCTCATGATATCAATCACTGGATTGGCTGGTTCAGACTTGATTATTTGCTCGACTGCATCATATAGCTGGAATGTTGCTGAATGCAGTGTAAACAACAAACAAACAAACAAACAAAAACGGCCTAATTTATTGTGAATTTTCTACTTGTGACTGCAAATGATTAATTTGAGGTTAATGAAGTCAGAAGTCTTGAGATATTTAATATGTCATCCCAGTTACATAGTGAAAGTACTGTGCAGATGTTTATAACCTTTTATGTATATATATCCCAATGTTATGTGTTTTTTAAGAATCATATGAACAACTCTAAAACATGACATTCACTTTTTAAAGGCAGCTTTCTCTAAAAAACAGGCAATCATCTGAGTAATTACAATGTCTGTGTGATGCTAGAAGTCCTGTTGTATCGCTAGTCACTTTAAACATTGCCGTCCGAAAACGTAGGATGTCCGAAAACCAATGATCCAACGATATATATACTTCTCAACTTACGATAGGGATATACTGAGTGTTAGCTGGGGACTGAATGTGACAGATTGCTTGGAGAGATTGTCATGCCAATAGTAGTCAATACGTCTAAGGGACTTAAGCCTGTTCAGCCTCAGGTCAAGGCTGCTTGTATGGTTATGTATTCACTGCGTGTCTCAAACTATTACATATCTGTGTCCTGTAATGACATAATATTAGTCAATCTATCTCCAGTATGTATGAGACCATCTTCCTGAGGCAAGAGAGTTAGCTGACTTTAAAAGTCCAGTTTCCACCCTTGCCGAACTAGGCTGGAATTCCTGGGCTCGATCGTAGCGCCACCAGTGGCTATTATGAGTAATGTCCTTTCTATGCCTCTCCTATTGACCAATCAGATTCAACCTCTCGTATCACTAGCATTTGCTTCAAACAAAACGGTGGCGCCCAGTCAAGACGATCTGATTGATAATCAAGATCTATATTGTGATCAAACGAGTCTTACATCGCGAAGTGCATCAAATCACGTGAGCACCGTGATCAAAAACATGAAAAGATATAGAAAATATTTGTCGACAACGTGTTAGCGGTGCACATGCTTTGCACATCCTGCAGTCGACCGAACTATGCATGACACTTTACGAACCAGATTTCGATTTTGGTGCGCGATTTTGATTGGACTATGCATAGACTCGTTAGTCCAGCCAAAATGTAACTCCATAATACCAGCCTAGTTTGGCAAGGGTGGAAACTGGACTTTTACAGTGAGTTAACTCACTTGCCTCGGGAAGATGGTATGAGCCGTGGTTTGAGTGTCCGCCTGGAGAGCCGAAGTTCGGGGGTTCAATCCCCGGCTGCGTCACACCAAGCAACGTTAAAAGATGGTACTTGTTGTTACCCTGACTGGTGCTTAAGGGGCTAAAACAAGGACTGGTTGGCTTGGAGTCAGTGTACTGTATGGAGTATTCAG